GGGGGTGGTGGTAAGTGGTGTCCCGCAGTCTGAGAATGAATGTGCGAGCCAGGGGTGACGGCATGAACAGGCCCGACTACATGTGCCACAGAGTGTTGCTGATGGGAGCTTGGCTGTTGGACAAGGTGTGGCCCAGGAGCAGGTGGTGGCGGAGGAGGGGGTGGGACTACAGCAGCAGCAGCTGGATGGTGAATAGTAGGGTTCTGAGAGGGCAAAAAATGCCCTGGAGTAACGTGGTGTCCTGGAACTGTTTGCTGGCTTGTAGTGCCAGGAAGTGCTTGATTTGGTCCTGATGTAAACACAGTTTGTTGAGAGAGACTGCCTTTGAGCGGATTATAATTTTGGAAGTTTGCAGAGGGCTGCTGGTTTTGATAATAAGACGAAGAAGAAGGGGGTGGAGGGGGTGGAGGGGGTGGTGCCGTGCTGTTCAGACTTTGTTGGTTAAACTGACTGTATGTTGCTGAAGATTGTCCTGAGGGTGTCTGTGTAAATAGTGCTCCAGAAGTTGCCTGCTGAGTACTGGCTTGAAGGTTCTGTGCTGCTGGATAAAAATTTCTCTGAGGCTCTCGCTGAGGTGTTCCAACTTGAGGTGACTGTGAATGATGAGGCCTGAAGGGTGATCCTAACTGCTGTGAAGGAGGCTTTGGTGAAAGATAACCGTGCTGTACGGGTGTGTGAGGCGTGGATGACTTTGGAGGATTTTCTATGTGAGGTGATGGAGGACAGTGCAACTTTGTTGGTGCAGAAGGCAGCTTTTGTGGAAGTTGCTCAGATGAACTGCGAACGTGTGGCTGAGGAGGATGATTCTTTGAAAGTGCCTGGGTGTTATTTGATAGCTGTTTTTGTTGGAGCTCTGTTTTTAGGTGAACACTGTTCTCAGCTTCTGATACAATGACTGTTGCCTCCCATTGGGGATCTGGTTTTGTGAGTATTTTCCCATGTGCTTGAGCAGGAATTACAGGTCCCGGTGAACCAGGCTATGAAGAAAAAACAAATCATATAAACTTAATACTAATTTTTAAAAGGTGCAGGAAATAACAGAAGTTTGAGGAGTCAGTATGGAGGCCTGGGATGTTAAAAAGTCAGTATTTTTCAGTGGTTCCAACAGTTCTGATAGTGAGCCTAAAATAAATTATCTGAATTAATTTTTATTGAAAACAGGTTGAGGAAATAATTGTAAATTTAACCCACCTTTTTCCCCCTATGCATTTAAACCTGTTTTGGGGCCTTAATCTCAAAGAACTCTAATAGCAAATTCAATTCCATAATTGAAATTTCTACATCTGACCCAGGGATAAGTTGGTTTGGGTAAATAAACTTGCTCCCTGAAACCATTTTGATTTTTAATACCTTTCCATTTTCCTGATATGCTGTTCAAACAGAAATAATCCAAGTATAAGACTACTTAAATGTCCATGATCAGTAAAAGAAAACCAATCTCAGATTCCTTATCTCTAGCATGCCATATTAATCACATCTTCATGAGCCAGGATGGAAATAGCATTCCTTTTCAAAGTCACATGATCTTGGTTTTAGAGAATTGGCTGGTCAGGTATTTCATGAAAAGTTTATGAATTTCCTAGAATAGAGGTGGAACTTTTGGAAAAACGTAAGTAACTGAAGTATGCTTAGAAAACCTGAATGTTTGGTTAAAACTATTCATCACTTTGACGGTAGGAGACAATGAATAAAGTAATAAACACAACTGTGCATGTTTGACAGGAAAAGTGTCCAAAAATCACAGATATTTGACACAACAGGAAAACCTTGTCTGCACACTATCAGCTTTTCAGCTTTTTTTAAATAAATGTATATGTATATATATTTTTTATTTTGTAGAGACAGGATCTCACTAATTTTCTCAGGCTGGTCTCAAACTCCTGGTCTCAAGCAATGTTTTCACCTCAGTCTCCCAAAGTGCTGGGATTACAGGCATCAGCAACT